GCATGATGGAAGAATTTAAAAATGTTCTTTGATAAAGAAATCTTATATTTTAGTACTGCATATGTTGAAAATGCTACCAAAGTTATTTTTGGCATTTAAAATTATATACTCGGGCTGGCCGAGTGACGCGATGGTTAAGCACCGGCTTGCGAAGCCAGAGGGCCCTGGTTCGGATCCCACATATGAGGGCCAGTGACACTGCCCTCCACAGCTAAGATGCTGAACAACAGCTCAACCTGGAGCTGGGTTGNGTAACATAAAATAAAGTTTACTTAAAAATCTGTATCTGAACAAAAATAAAATGGTTATATAACCTAGTGTTTTACTGTACTGAATTGGGCTAATTCTACTTATATCCTATATATTAAACAGTAATGCATTTCATTTTGATTAAGAATAAACACATTTGTATTTTAAAGAGAAAAGTCCAAAGTGTTTATTGTTTCATTATTAAACAAAAACAATTTAGTTCTACTTAAAATTTTCACCCAAATCGCTGAAATTAACCTATTCACTAGAAATATTTCATATCACACGGTGAATTCAACTATACACCTAAATGGGTCTCAGCTAATGAAAAAACATCTTTCAGGTATCTGATATGGTAAAAACAAAAAAACAAAGCTCCTCACTGTTTGAGAATGCAGTCTACAACCTATAATAAGGCACATATTATACATGAATTGTGAGAAATTAGCATTTTTAGAGAATGGTAAACTGGAAAAGAGTATTTTCCTACTACTAATTATATCTCAGCAAGTTATAAATTTAGATGTATATTAAATTGACAAAGTTAAAAAAATGGTGATAAGGAAAAAGGTCATTCTCATTCATTGCTAATTCTATACACAGGAGTAAAATCTGCAAACATTTCTGAAAAGCAATTTTAGTAAAATGTATCAAAAGCTTTTAAAACATTCACAGATTCTGACCACTTCTTCAATCTAGTAAAGAAAAAAAAAAGTATTACATGAAAGAAGAATTTAGGCACATTATACCCTATTTTGCCATGTATAATGCCCTCGCGTTTATACTGCGCACCCACATTTTTTGCCCAAGCTTTCAGGGGAAAAAATTTTTCATTTTAATTTTGTAATTCAAATTTTTATTTGTTTACATTTAGGTACTTGTTTTTTGTATTATAAAGGAATTTTAGCATTTATTTGTTAAATATATTTGGTACAAGAAATTTTATCTACCAGTAACAAATTTATGACATTTATGCATCACAGAAGGCCAAAAACTCGTAATCATTGCAAGTTTGTGTAAATTCAACAAAACCAGTTATCATATTCCAGAGTATTATTTTGCATATAATATCAACACTGATTTCTAGAGTTACACTTTTAACTCATAAACATATATAAAAGAATTGAAAACATTTATAGATACAGAATTAGTACTACCCATGTATAATGCGCATCTATTTTTCCCCTCACAAATTTGAGCAAAAAGTGCACATTATACATGGCAAAATATAGTATTTTTCTCAGAATCATTTTTAAAAGCAAAAATGAAGAAACCACCTTAATGTCCCAAAATAAAGAATTGGTTAAATAATTTATGTTATGCTCACTTAACAGAATATTGACTGGTTATTTGAAATTAAGTTTATGAATAGTATCTACTATGTGGAGAAATGTTCAGTGTTAAAAAACTAGTATATAAAATTTTATTAGAAGTATTATCATAACCATAAAGATAGACTGGTTTTTCTACTTAGAACCCTTCCAAGGTTTCCAATTATAAAGCTGTGCTGGGAGACCTTGCACATACTGGAGAGGAGAGTAAGACAATCAACATTATCTGAGGAATGCTTTCATAAAACACATACTTTATACAATCCACGGAAATGGTCCCTCTCCTCTGGAAACACTGATGTACAGGATATAATTCCAATTTTATTTCATAGGGAAAAAATAGACAATAAATGTATGAAAAGATACTGAGCTTCATTCAATTTAAGACATAAAAATATAATGCCAATTTCTTATACAACTAGAAAGATGGAAAAGATAAATAATACTCAATGTTGGTAAGAGTATGGAGAAATAGAAATACTTTTGCACTGTTGGTAAAAGTGCAGTTCTACTTTGAAGTGTATATAGATACATGTACAAATAATCATGGTAACACTATTTGTAACAAAAAAAAAGAAAGAAAGAAAAAGAAAACAACATCCTGTGGTGCAGCAGAGGACTGGTTACAAATTATGATATAAATGTATGATAGAATTCTGTTCAGACATGAAAAAGATCTGTATGCAGCACTCACAAGATACTGTAAAATGAAAAAAAGCTAGGTACAGATGTGTCAGTATGACATGATTCTGTCTAATTGATAAGACGGATGGACAGAAATTTTAATTTTATACCAGGAATGATACACCAAACTGTTGATTTCCTTAAAGAAATATCTTTTTTTTTTTAAAGATTTTATTGGGGAATTGGGGGAAGGGGAACAGCGTTGGGGAATCGAGGAAGGGGAACAGACAGATAGACAAATTGCTGTTTTGTTCTTCAGTCTAGTTGTGGAGGACGTCGCTTCACTGGCCCATGTTGGTATTACCATTGTGCTCTTCCCAGGTGAGGCAACTGTTCGCCGGTCATTGGTCGGCAGCTCACAACAGCTCCTGGCAGCTCACACCGGCTGCCGGCCACTCACGCTGGCTGCCAGTCACTTACGTAGTTCACGGTAGCTCACGGCAGCCCTGCTGCAGCCCCTCTGCAGCTTATGCCGTTGCCGGCGACTCACATCAGCCCAGCTCCAGGTCAAGCAGTTGTTCATCATCTTAGCTGTAGAGGGCAGCGTCACTGGCCCTCAATGTGGGATCCAAACCGCAGCCCTGCTGCTCAGAGCTGGTGCTCCCAAGTGAGCTCTTAACCAGCTGAGTCACTAGGCTGGCCCAAGAAATATCTTATATAAAGGACTATATACAAACTAATATAAACATAATGAAATGAATATGTGTATCCTTATTACACAACTTAATAGACTATAACCAATACAACAAGTAACTCCCATGTGTTTCTCCATGTTAGCATCCCCCATCTCTACTACTTGGATTACCAACAGGTAAACTTTATCTCAAAGTGGTTATTTTTTCATTTTCTTAGTCTTCCTCACAGTTTCACCACATAGGTATTATCCCTAAGCAATATTTTAGTTATACATGCTTTTGAATTTTATTTGACTGATATCATGCTATTTGGGGCATTATGGGGCCTGCATTTTTTGCTCAGCTCTTTTGGGTGAAATTCATTCACATTGACAGATGTAGCAACAGCTCATTCATTTTCACTTCTTGTAGCAATGATAACTAACACATATTGAGCATTTTCTATGTACCAGATGTTGTCCCAAATACTTTACATGGGTTAACTCATTTAATCCCCACAACCCTTAGGGGTAGATATATTATCTCTGTATTCCATATGAAGAAACTAAAGCTCAAAAAGATTAAGTAACTTGCCTAAGATGAAACAGTTAATTTTTTGCTATTTCAAATAATGTTTGAACATTCTTGTACAGGCCTCACTGTACATATGTACAAGAGTTTTTATGGTAACATATCCAAGAGTAGAAATTCTGGATTACAGGATACACATATGTTCCAGTTTACGTAATAAAAATTATTTTCTAAGGTGATTTTAACAATTCACATATCCACAAGAATGTTCCACATTCTCACCAAGACTAGACGTTATCACAATGTTCACTTTTATGTATCTTAAATGCTATTTTAATTTCTATGATAATGAATCATAGTAAAAATTACAATGTTTTCTTTATATGAATATGAAAATTTGAGAATAAAAAACAATAATTGATCAAACAAATGAATGCATAGTATTTACTGTTACCATGGCTTCTACTACTATTTCATCTTCATCTGTTTCAGAAATACTGACGTACTTGTTTCTCTCCAGTATCATCTGACACTTCACACTTCTGACCCTTACATGTCATTTCCTCTGCCCACAATGACTATCTTCAATTTTCTACTAGAAAAACACCTTTATAACTTTAGCCATTAACTCCTCAAAAGTCTTTGCTGATCCGTTCCCAAATTAATCACTCTGTCCTCTGAACTTCTTCAGAAATACTTGTTATCTATTGCCCTATATTCTAAGTGTTCTTTTTTATATTTCTCCTATGAGCCAATATTCATTCTGCCCGTTTTACCCCTAGAGCTTAAACTATGCCTGGAACATAGTGAGCATCCTATAACTAATCTGTGATGNCATCAGTAATAATCAGGAAAGTATAAATTAAAATCACAATAAATTACTTTACTTTCATCAAGTGACTAAATTGGGGAGAAAAAAGGGCAATACCGAGTGTTCAGGAAAATTCTCAGCACTGGTGGGAATGTACTGGAATACCACTTGGGAATGTTTTGTTTTTGAGTAAAATTTACTGTGTTTAACCTGTGGTTTTTTGTGTCTTCTGGCACATGAGTGTGTACCCAAGTCTGTGAAGCAACAAACAACATAAAGTCCAAGGTGTTTTTGTGGAACATAAAAACACAGCAATCTGGCCATTGTCCTGCCTCTCTTTTTTATCCCTCATGTTGTTTTTTCCCTAGATCATGAATGCTATGGTTTATGTTGCTGCCTGTTATAAATAAATGTTTGTGTCCCGCCCAAACTCATGAAACACTAACCCCCAATGTGATGGTATTTGGAGATGGGGTCTTTTGGGAAGTAGTTAGGCCATGAGGGTGTGGTCCTGGTCTGATAGAATTAGTGCCCTTGTAAGAGGAGACATCAGAAAGCTTGCTCACTTTAGTGCTCTCTCTCTCTCTCTCCCTCTCTCTCTGTCATGTGAAGGCAGCTAGCTGTCTGGATTTGATTCATTATAAATCATATTTTCCTGTTATTTTTTTTTTTGCTGTCTGTTTATTTTGTCTGGTAAAGGGAAGATGGCCTTAATGTCCTTCTCTAACATCCGATTTCCATACATATGAATAACACATTGAAAAATATTTATCTTCTCACCTGATTGGCTTGGCTTTGCAAGTAGACTCTTCTGGCATTCAGATCTTCAAAAGGGGAAGGTCTTGAAATTCTATAAGGCTCACTGGTTACAACTGTCTCTTGCTGGAAAAGATGATCTTTCACTAGAGAACTGGGAGTATCCTCTTCAGTTGCCTAATGGGAACAAGCCCCAACTCATTAATTGCCAGATATAAAAAACAACAATAAAACATTAGATACTTCACTCTAACAAGTATTTTGCTCATCAGTAAGAATGTACCATCAGCATCACTATGAATAGCAATTCCCAAAATGTAAATGTATATGACTGGGGAGCCATGTAAAAATAAAAACAAATAAAAAAAATCAACTTTATGACCAAGCTGGGCTTTCTTACAGAAACAACTTAGGAAGAATTAAAAGATTAACCATACCCTGCCAAGAGAGATAGCTAATGAAACTTTTAATTATAACTAAAAGTGGTATCAGACATTGAAAATTAAGGCAATATTAGGAAGAAAATACAAATCAACAAAAGTGTTATTTTGAAAGAAAGGTATGTATAAGATATGTGCTGTAGTGTGATATGGGAAGGGGTGAGGGGGGAGTGGGGAGGAGAGGAAGAAAGATAGCAGTCCAAGGCCTTATTGATTGATAGTGAATGAATAGCCTAAATTTGCTGATTTGGAAGGGTTACAATCATATGAGACTTAGGTAGGAGATATGCTCAATCAATGACAGTCACTAACGACATGCCTTTAAATTTTCATAAACAATAATTTCTGTGAAATGACACTTAGCATACGACAAAACAAAAAGTCCTAAAAGAGTTTTAATCCCTCCCTCCCTTTCTTTTTTTTTAGAAATGAAATAACTATTTGCTATAACTTTTCCCATTACTATAAAATGATTTGGGAAGAAACAGTGACAGCTAAATAAAAATGACAAGTACTTTCACTGGCTCATTCTAAAATAATTTAGAGTAATCACAATAGGGCTAACAATTTTAAAGGTACAAAACTTTATAAGCCATTTTTAAAATAAAAAAATAAATAAAAATGTTTGGTGTTACATCTAAAATTAAGCAATAAAATTCATAAAATGGATATTTTAAATTTATAAATGCAAGTTCTAGACTTTGCTCTAGAACAAAGTAGCCTTGTGACCTTTAATTTCTTTGGAACCCAGCTGTCTCAATGATCAAATAATAATAATTCCTATACTGTCTTATGACATGGATTGTCATAAACATGTAGTAAGATGATAATATGTGAAAATGTTCTGAAAACCAAAAGCTGTTATTTTATCAGGGAGTAAGCAATTAAACATAAAAATATATCTGAGAATCTACTGTCACCTAAAACCAAGTATGTCAAACCCAGTTAATTGCTATATTTAGCTAATTTTCAGAATAGTTGTCCAAATGTGTTATGACATTTAATGCTAAATTACTGGAATGGAGTTGGCTAAATACTGGTATCCAACAAACATTGTTTCAACATGCATAATTAAAACTTGGAAGAGTAAAAATAATTTATTTGTTCCAGATTCTCAAAACAAATAACTCAAGTAATTGTCAAAAATTAAGCAAATTAAATAGAAGAAAACACAGGGGAAAAAAAGTTCAGAACAAGGGTTTACGTTGGATGGAATCTTGTCTCATCCAACTAGGGTATAAAATTTAAGCAATTCACTTCTCTAAATCACAATTTCTTTTTACTATAAATTGGGTATTCTATTTATACGAATCTCAGGGTTAGTTAAGATATTCAACAAATTAAAAACTACAAAAAAGAATGAATTGTAGTACTAGTATCAGTAGTAATTATAAAGGAACTATGCTTTTAATAATGACAACTATTTGGGTCAGGTTGTCTTTACTGAATTCTAATCTAACTGAGGAGTCACATAAGAATTGTAAAATAAGGGGTGACCAATTAGGTCAGTAGGTTGGAGTATGTATGGTGCTGATAGCACCAGCGTTGTCAGTTCGATCCCTGCATGGGCCACTGTGAGCTG